TTCCTACAGCCCTTAGAGACCTCTCATCCTAGAGTCAAGAAGAGGGGCCCCTGAAAAGTAAGACGTTTGTTTGGACGGCTGCAAAGAGCAATGTTTCAAGGTCACCAAAGGTATTGTTATTTTGCCACTCCTGCAAACAGGGGCAAGATTGCAAACCTTTTTAGAAACATCTGAGCCTTTGTACCACATGGGGGGAAGGTGGGAGTCAGGCACGGGATGGAAGAAAGAGGAGCACGTGAGCGTGTCACTCACTCCAGCCAACGGTGCATCTGGGTGCTGAGCACGTGATTTCAGTGAGCAGCTGAGATGCTCAGACAGTGCTGTCTGTTCACCAGGGGATTCCCAGACAAGTCCTCGCCCCTGGTAGGAAGGGTAGTCGGCAAGGTCCAGGTGGTCAGCGTGTTGGGGCCCCATGGGCTCAAGGAAAATGGAGCCCAGCTCAAAGGTCAAGGTCAGGAAAAGGTCATCCTCCAAAACGGAAACTAGTAAACACAACATGAACCACATGACATTCACCGGTACAGAGCTAAGCTGCCTCGGGTAGTCCAAGGCTGAATTGGAACACACACAAACAAACCATATTCTTCTCAATTGTATTATGGCTCACCCGGCATGAGGTAGTGGGACCCCTAGGTTAGTGATTTTATTGTGATTTTAAAGGGAAGGGACCAGAAAGAGTTCATTGGTGTGTTTCCATTTCCATTCCAGGGAGGGGGTTCTGATTCTGATGGCTGATACCCAGAGAGTGGAAAAGGACAATTCTCCACAACATCCTAGTTTGAGGGAAACATCCCTTGGGAATTATGAATTCAACTCTTCCGTAGTAATTTTGTGTCCCCTGTAACCCTCTCATCTGGGTGGCTATGTGCAGCGGCTGGAGCAGGCTGAGGGAATTTTAAGTTTGATTATTCCACCAGCTTTCCCCATACTGATGCCAGGGTCCTCTCTGGGCATGTTTGTCGGGGTTCTCCAGAGGAACAGAACCAGTAGGATGTATATACGTATAGAGAATGAGGTTTATTATAAGGAGTTGGCTTACACGATTATGGAGGCTGACAAGTACCAAGACCTGCAGTCAGGACAGCCCATGGTGTAAATTCCATTCCAGAAGCCAGCAGGCTCGAGACTCAGGAAGAGCCAGTGTTTCAGTTCAAGTCCAGAGGCAGGGGAAAACCAGTGTTCCAGCTGGACGGCAGGCAGGCAGGAGGAATTCCCTCTTCCTTGGGGGAGGGTCAGCCTTTTGCTCTATTCAGGCCACCACTGATTGGATGGGGCCCACCCACATTAGGAAGGGCAATCTGCTTTACTTGATCTATCGATTTAAATATTAAACTCATCTAAAACACCATCACAGACGCAACCAAAATAACATCTGACCAAATATCTGGGTGCCCTGTTGCCCAGTCAAGTTGACACGTAAAATTAACCATCACAAGAGGGTATGGGACAACTTCAAGAAGACAAAGACTGGTCTGCTTGAAAAAAATCTTAGGAGATTTTATTCCCGTCATGGCTGGACCCAAAGAGTGTCAGAGCACTGGTGTCTATAAGGGTTACATTTCTAAACAAAGGTTATATCTTTTGCAAACAAGCTAATGGACAACAACAAAAATAATAGTAATAATAATAAACTTTCTCCAATTGTATTATTTTAAATAAATTTATTTATTTTTGGCTGCGTTGGGTCTTTGTTGCTGCGCTTGGGCTTTCTGTAGTTGCGGTGAGCGGGGGCTACTCTTCGTTGCAGTGCATGGGCTTCTCATTGCGGTGGCTTCTCTTGTTGCGGAGCATGGACTCTAGGTGCGCAGGCTTCAGTAGTTGTGGCTCACGGGCTCTAGAGCACAGGCTCAGTAGTTGTGGCGCACGGGCTTAGCTGCTCCGCGGCATGTGGGATCTTCCCGGACTAGGGATCGAACCTGTGTCCCCTGTGTTGGCAGGTGGATTCTCAACCACTATGCCACCAGGGAAGCCCCTAATTGTATTCTTTTAAATCTCCTCCCACCACCGTGAGAGCCAGGACTATGGCCAGGGAGGGGCCATCCTGACCCTGTGACTTAATTCAGGGACGATTGTCCTCTGTGAACTGAGCATCTTGTCACTTCAGGGCTTCTCTGACAGATCAGTTACTCATATCTCCAAACTTATCGCCGAAGGCAATAATTCTCACTGAATTCGATTAGTTCTGTAATCCTGTACATTAGATTCTCCTGGGGAGATATTTTTAAAAATTGATGATTGGGCCCCACCCTCAGATATCTGATTTATTTGGTTTGGGGTGGGCTCTGCATTGGTATTTTTTTAAATCTTTCCAGGTGATTCTAATATGAGCCAAGGGTGGGACGTAGGGGAAAAGCAAACATCTAAGAGGGGGTTGGGGAGAGATTTGACTGTCTAGAATCGCAGGACAATGGAGAGCTGACATTGCCAAGTCCTGGGTCAGCTTTGAGTGGCCGGAAGTAGAGGAGCAAACCCTGAACTATGGGTGTCCTGCCACAGCAGGACCCTGTCAGCCTTTGTTCTCCCTTCCTTCCTCCCTATTGTCTCTTTAGCTGTAATAACATCTACCCTGGTTGGAGAGCGGGGAACCCTTTTTCAGGCAACTTTATCAGGGGCGTTTTTTTCTGCATTCAAGCCCCAGGCACACATAGGTAGACACGCGCTCACAGTCTCACCTGGGTGTCCCCTCTTCCCTTTCCCCAGTAAAGAGGTGAATGGTCACAAGTAAGATGACAGCTTTAGAGGAAGTGCATTTTGGCAAACAGAAAGCTCTGCTCCAACAAAAAGCTCTGTGACCTTGCGGAAATCCCTCTCCCCTCTGAGCCTCATTTCCCCCTCTGTGAAATGGGAAGAGAGCCAGCCTCTGAGGTCCGTCTGGGTCTGACCTTCTGTGGTTGGAGAGGCGAGATGGGGTGACTTTCAATCTAGATTCCACAAAACAGGGAGAACAGTAATTGTTCTGCCAAACTCACAGGGCTCTGCTCAGAATCCAGTGAGACAACACACACAGTTTGTGTGTCCCTGAGTCAGAGAACAGTGGCTGCCGTAACAGATGACCCCAGTGTCGGTAGATCAACACAAGAAATGCTTATTTCTTACTCATGTCACCACCCAACCTGGGCTACAGTCTTTCAGGGACAGAGGCTTCCTTCCTCTCAGGGCACCATCATCTTCCACATATATATTCCAAGCTCATGGAGGATAGGGTGGAGGGTTTTATGGCCACGCCTGAAGGTGGCACATACCACCTCTACCACGTGCCATTGGCCAGAACTCAGTCACATGGCTCCTGTGAAACAGCAAGGGAGCCTGGGAAATGTAGTCTTCTCATCTACCTGCGACAAAAATGAACTTGGTTTGATGAACACGTACCATTGTCTTGCTACGCCTACGTAAGACTCTCTACACGTGTACCATTCAAGTGCTATTTATGTTATTATTATTTTTAATGTATTTATTTATTTTTGACTGCGTTGGGTCTTTGTTGCTGCGCGTGGGCTTTCTCTAGTTGTGGCAAGCGGGGTCTACTACTCTTCGTTGCAGTGCATGGGCTTCTCATTGTGGTGGCTTCTCTTGTTGCGCAGCACGGGCTCTAGGCACGCGGGCTTCAGTAGTTGTGGCGCACCGGCTTAGCTGCTTTGCGGCATGTGGGATCTTCCCGGACCAGGGCTCGAACCTGTGTCCCCTGCGTTGGCAGGCGGATTCTTAACCACTGTGCCACCGGGGAAGCCCTCAAGTGCTATTTAAATGTTAGGTATTAATAGTAATCTGGATACCTGATAGTTATATCATATTCCTGGATGGAGGAGTAGATAATGAATGTTATTTATTTAGTGGGTGTTCTGGACCAAGAATTCCGTTAGACATTGCATATCATGTATAAACGACCCTGAGATACTTGAGGCACGAGAAATATTATTTCTTTGGCTTAATCAAATCCAATCCAGCTTCAAGCTCTTGTTTTCCAAGGTCCGTACAAATTCCAATGTCATTCACTTGCGGTACCCCCCTCCTCTCCTTGGGATCCTGTGAGAAGGCCAGGGGTTACAAAGTCTGCATGATGGGAAGTGTCAGTGGTCTTCAGTCCACTATGGCTACAGCCCCCAGAACAGCTTGCATGGTCCATAAGGAGACAGGGGGCTCCTCTGGGGACATTCTTGTGCTCTGGCAAAGGTGGCCCAGGAGACCACAGCAGTGGCACTCAAGCACACAGAGTTTAGCGCTTAGCTGCCCTCATCTGAGATCTTTGCCACCACCGTTCAGCTATGTCCCAGCCAACCCTGGTCTTCCTCCTTCCTGGGTCCCCATAACCCTCGTACCCTCACAGTCTTGGGAATCCAAGCTTCCGCCCTTGAATCGCCACTCCCCTCTTTAACTAAAAGCATCAGCCTTCACCCCCATCCGTTGGAGACAATCCAGGTTGATTGTCTCAATCAGACAGCCAGGGGTCTCAAAGTCAAGGGGCTGGGGAGAGGACGTAAGTGAGGGAAACAAGGAGAGCGACCACTCTGAAGCCCTAGGGGAGCTGTGCCCTGTCTCAAGGGGCAGCTGCTCCCCAGCCCCATCACTGTCACATGTAAGAAGAACGCACGCCCAGTGTCGACAGACTTTCAGGAGATGCCAGAAATCCGAACTTTGATGCAAAATCTCCTCATTTGTGAATGTTGGCGGCTAGTTCATTTTTAAAATTTTTTCCAAGACGCTCCACAAGCCCAAACAAGACACGTCTGCAAGCCAGATGTGGACCAAAGCCTGAGAGTTTGTTCCAGCTGCCCAGACTTTTGAAAACAAAGTTTATTTGGGGTTGTCTCCCGGGGCTACTGGCAGAGTCTAACTTCTCCATTTTTCTCTGAAACATAAAAACTTAGCTCCCTCTGCAAAGCAGGAGAACCTAGGGCTCAGAAGACGAAGGTTTGGCTGCCCTTCTAATGAGGGGGCAGGGAGGAAATCACAGTTATCACAGTTTTAAGTCTTTTGTGTAGTCCATGGCGGGAAGGTGGGCAGAAGAAGGGAGGAGAGAAGGAAGAAAGAAGGAACGAAGAAACAGGACATAGCATTATTTTTTAATAACCCACCCTGCGTTAACTCATTTATCTTCATGCCAGGTGGAGCTCGGTAGATGGAAGGATGGCTTGTGACAAGACTTCTTGCCAGGCTAAATCATTTCCTTGCTAGTTTTGGGAGATGCTGCACTGCCCACCAGAGTGGCCGGGTGGGCAAACGTGCGCTGTAACACCTGCCCACTCCCTGCCCGCTCTGAGCCTGAAGGAGACTCAGCTTCAGACCTGGACCTGGTCTGGGCAGGGGAACAAGTGAGAGGCAGGAGGAAAGTGAGGGTTTCAGAGATGCTGGGTGGCCCCAGCAGACGTACAAGGGCCCACGCCAGAGCCATGGAAGGGCCAGTCCATGAGCACCAGGGCATGGGGTGCCTTGACCTAAACCAGTTCTAACTCCTGGGCTGCAACCTGCTGGGTTTTTAGATTTGTCCTCTCTACCCGACCTATTTCCAAAGGAATCTGAGGCAATTAAGATGTATGTTTAGTAGATCATGAAGCAAGCACATCTGAAAAGGAGCAAAGGAGAGAGGTCTCTGTCACTTGAGATGAGCTGATTTTTGAGACGGGGCCCCAGTTTGGCTGTAAGTTTCCTGACCGCCAAGGCAAAAGGGGAACCTCTGAGGCGTGTGGTTTGTACTGTCTGACAACAAGAGACTGCACCCTCGCCTGTAAAAACAGCCTCTTGGTTGGAGCTGATCATAAAGGGGAATTGATGGTACAGGGAGTGTCTCCCGTACTTCCTGTGTTGGTCCAGATCCTCTAAGAAGCAGATAGTGAGACAAGATTAGACATGCAGGCTTCATGTGGGGAAACGCCTGTGGGACAGAAAATGGAGACGGAGGGAGCTGGTGAGAGCTGGGAGAGCGAGCGCCCAGACTGTGATGAAAATCCAACTCTGAGAGAAGGAGGAAGGGAGGAAGGGATGGGTGGAAATGTGCTAGACTGACGGATGGGTCTTGGGTTGGGGAATCCCTGAGCCACAGAGTCAGCCATCTACAAAGCTTCCCGAGCTGGAACCCGAGCAGAGTTCCTGCTGCTGCCCCTATTGGCTGGGAAGTGTGGCCTCGGCAGGAGGTGATGGATTTCACAGCCCAACAGCACAAAGCTCTTACACTCGTTGTAGCGGGAGATCAGTGAGGTGCATTTTCACGGCTACCGTGCTTTCCAAGTGTCAGTTCCTGATTCGTGTACCCACCTCCACAGCTCTGCAGTGTCAATGCTCTGCTGTTAAAGAAAATAATTATTTTGACACTTGTTAAACCCTAAAGAAGACTTTATTCAAGATTATTGCAATAGAGGAGAGAGATGGGCCTCTGCTCTGAATAAGGCAAAGACAGCTGGGGATTTACAGCCAACAAACAGAGGGAGGGGTCAGTAGATGGGAAATTCCTAAGAGGGGACCTCAGGGGTGGGAGATTCTTCCTAAAGTGACCTAACAGGATTCTTGCCGGACACAGGTCAAGAACTTACACATCAAAGGTGGGGAATAGAGAGCTTGGTCAGATATCAGCGAGAGGGACTTCTATCGGCCGACAGCAGGATCCTTGCTAAAACTGGGCTTGGAGACCAAAGACAGGACAGGGGCTACGCTGAGGGCCTAGTGGAGAACAGGGCTCTGAGGACCCCGAGTGAAGTTTGGTCAGGGAGAGAGTTCTTGTCACCTCCTGGTATCTATCTGATACGTTTCTTTAAATTGACTTTAAATTTTAGCTTCATACGAGTTGAGGAACCAGTTATATATTTTTTTCTATACATTAAAATAAGTGCATAATTACTCAAATTTTAGAATCATCCGTGTACCGTCTAAAATTGTCTCGCATGTCACTGGCAATGTACGTACCGCCCTCTGGGGAATGTGGATTTTACAAAGAACAGAGAAATGCCGGTTGAAAGGCTGTATTGCAGTCCTGGCCGGGACGCAGGCTGCCAGCTCTAAGTTGATTACTTCCGGGCACCTCTTGAGGCTCAGAGAGACGCTAAGGACATTCTCAGGGAGAGTGGAGGTGGGAGCGAGGGTAAGGCCAGGGGCTCCCGGCCTCAAAGCTTCCCCACCCTGCCTCCCAGATGTGGATCCGGACCTCCAGCGGAGCGTGCACGCTGTGCTCCGAGAGCTCAGTGCCCCGGCCCCCGCCCTACCGAGCAACCAAGGTAAGAGCCGGCAGGCATCGTCCGCTCTCTCTGCTTCCCCCGCCCCCGCGCAGCCAACTCCGCCCACGTGTTCTCGGGAAGAAAGCGCCCCAGCCTGGAGCTCACAGAATGAGGGGCTTCCGCCAAGCCCCCGTCCTCCTGGGAATCCTTGGAGCCCGAAGGACCCAGAAGGTCTTCTCTGCCCCCGGCTCACCCTCCAGGGACTGTGGCACAGCCCATCGGGGGTCTGCCGCCCTCTTTCTTAACCGCCTTCTCCAACTTGCCTTGCAAATAAAAGTCCCCTGGCACTCCAGGCCCGCATGACTCCCAGGAACGTGGCTCGGGGTGCTGAGCTGTTAACATCGCTGCTCCAGAAGCCACGTGCGCACACCTGTCCCCGCTAGCGTCCCGCCTCCCTCCTTTCTGCCCTGGGAATTCACCGCTCATGGGGCCTGCAGATCAGAGAAACCCACCCCCATGGGCGCGGAGCCCAGCACCTGGCGGTGGGGGCGGGGGTCAGACCTGGGACTCCAGGGCTCAGAGTCCTGCTCAGAGGGGTCTCCTTTCAGAGGCCACCCCCCTCCCCCCTGGCTGGGCTGGACACCCCTTTCTCCTGACCCAGGCATGTGGAGATGGTCCCTGCACAAGAAGGTCGAGCGGGATCCTGGTAAGAGTCCGGCACTGGTCCGCATACTGCTCAGAGAACTGGAGAAGGTGAGTCCTCGGGCTTCGGGCAGGGGGCAGACAGGGACGAGAGGAAGAGGGGCCGTTCCCGCCGGGGACTCGGGCCCATCCACCCCGCGTCTCACACACTCTGGTCGTTTGATTTCTACCGTATTTCTCCCTTTCCAGTACTTTGCTATAAGCAATTTAATCTTTACGTTGACTCCCACTCTTTGACCTGAGTTAACGTCTTTCAAAAAGGATCTCTACAACACGACTGTAAATGGAAAACCCGTATCACTGGACAGAAATGGAAAGTACCTGGAAACGTAAATGCCTAACTAGTAAAAATGTTCAAAATTATCCTCGTAATTACCCTCCACACCACCCAGTGCTCTACGTTTGGGAAACGCTGCACTCAGGGGAGCCTCCAAGCTGGTGCCTCACCTGTCGCTTTGCTACCAGCTCCTGCCCTGAGTCAGTGCCGCCCCTCCCTCAGGGAGTTCCCTGCACCCCTCCCACACGCCCTCACACCTGGGCTCCCGCACCTGTGCCCCCCACCCCCGCTCTTCTACCAGGGCAGGCTGTGGCCCTTTTCCACTCCCCTCGGCCTGCTGGGACACTGCCTTCCACCACATCTCCTGCTAGGATGTGGCAAGACCCCTGCGACCCCCCGCACCTGTGCGCCCCATCCATGTCCTGTGATCTCCTGTTTTCCAGGCAGAAAGTGAGGACGCCCGGCATGTCATCATCCCCTTGCTGCACACGCTAATGTACGTGCTCACTAAGGTGAGCGGGGACTGAGGGTGAAGGGGGTCGGGGTGACCCACGGGTGACGGGGCTGGACACTCAGGAGACGACCGGTCTCTGCCTGGTGAGCGAGCCTAGAGGAGCTCGAGGAGCACCTGCCCCTAACTGGCTTCTCCCCATAGCCCTGCCCTCGCCCTGATACACGAAGAGATGAAATTGGGGAGGTAGTGGCGGTAGATTTGCGACCCCGACAGAGCAGAAGGGCTGCGAGGGGAGTTGATGTGCTGGCAGAACAGGATGGGGATGAGTTTCCATCTTGAGAGGCCTGAACATGGTGTAGGAGGGGAGATGTCTTAAGATGCTGGGAGAAGAGGCTGAAGGTGTAGATTGGGAGAGAGTGTGAGCCCAGGTCTGGCTGCTCTCCCCGCCCCCCATCACCCCGCACCACCCAGGACCCTGCGAGACCTAGGGCTCCGGGCACCCTGATTCCTCCGTCTCACCCAGGCCACGGGCATCACAGAGGAGCTCCACCGGAGAACCTATGCCTTTTGCACGAGGTTGCTGACCCTGCCCGCCCCCTACTGCACCATCGCCCTGGACTGCGCCATAAGGCTGAAAACGGAGACGGCCGTCCCAGGTAAGAGCCAATCCGGCTCTGCCCAAGGTCTTGCCTTCCTCTCCAGGATTCCAGGGAGCTCAAAAGCCCCAGCACCTTCTGGGAAAGTAGGGAATGGGGGTCAGAGACTCAGACGCTGGTTGGCTGAAGTGGTCTGCCCCGCAGGGACACTGTACCAGAGGCTGGTCATTGCCGAGCAGAACCTGAGGAGTGAGCTGTACCCCTACCGGGAGAGGTGAGTGGCCCCAGCGAGGGTGCTGCCCGCAGGACAAGTGAGGAGTCTGCGTGGGGAGCGTCCCCTCCCATCCATGGCGTTTGTCCAGCAGCGGGACGTCCTCAGGGTAGAGAGGGCGTGTCCTTCCCTGGAGATCCCTGAAAGCAGTTAGGACTTTCTTCTTGGGCTGGATTCAGAGCTCGCCCGCTCACATGCAGAACGTGGACACGGGCACCGGGCCATTCTGCAGATCCATGGTTCCACCTCCATTCTGCCCTTGGCCATGGTGTTGCGTCAAGCAGCCAGAGGCACCTCTAGAATACCAGTAATTCAGGCCACAGTCACACCACGAGATCTGGGGTCTTTCATCTGTGTGTGTGTAAGACTGAGGACACGTCCGCTGCTCGTGCTGGGGAGAGAGGCTGATGGAGTCGGGGGTGAAGCAGGGGGTGCGTAGCCTCCTGCCCTGCAGGTACCTCTGCTCGCCTGGTACTGAAAGGTGTAGCCTGGGGCTCTGTGTTCGTGGAGGGTGCAGGGAGGGGAAGGGATCCGGAGGACTTGGCATTGGAGAGGTTGAAATGACAGTTGAGTATGGAAGAGAGGGTGGGTGAGGTTGGTTTTCTGCTGTGATGAGGGGGATGAGAGAAGAAGGGGCTCACTTAGGGTTCGGAGCTCGTTTCAGCAGGAAGGATTTAGGGTCCCTCCTAGAGGGCTACGGGGTCAACGGGCCACGACGCTGAGGGAGGGAGGGGCATTTCAGCTGGAACTTACCTAGACATGAGAGGGACCCAGAGGGACCAGCTGCCCCCCTGGAAGGGCCGTGCCTGCTCTTCTTTGCCGCAATCCCCACCACTCCCTAGTGTTGTCCCCCAATAGAATTTTGAATTTGAGGCTCCTGTTTTTGGAGGAAGTAAATAACTTGGGGGTTGGGGGTGGCGGGTGCTGCAAGGCTCTGAGGGTGGCCCTTCTCCCCGTGGTCCTCGTCATCAGCTCCCGGTCCCCCCACCTTTGCCCTCAGAGTGTTCCTCTTCGTGGATCCTGAGCTGGTGTCTCCCTCCGTGTGCAGTGCCCTGCTGCTGGAGATTGAGGCGGCCCAGGGGCAGCAGACACCAGAGGCCTGCATGCGCCACGTGGTCTCCCACGCCCTGCAGGCGGCGCTGGGGGAGGCCTGCGAGGCAGGTGTGCTGCAAAGGAAGCTTCAGGTAAGGTCACTGCCCTGCCCCCCCATACCAGCGCTCACTCTCCTGGGCTTCCCCCTTCTCCTGTTTCCACATCACCTTTTTCCCCAAACCAAAGATAAAGACACATTCACTAAGGAAAATTTGAAAAACAATGCAGGAGAGCCAAGAAAGAAAATACAAATCACTCACACCCCTCTACCCACACACATTAGCAATTAACATTTGGTATGTTTCCTGAATAATATCGACAGTGATCATCACAAGAGCCACTGTTTATTGAACGTCTGCTGTGTTCCAGGCACCGTGTTCAACACTTTATAGGTATCACCTTAAAAAACTCTCACCACAACATTGTGAAATGGATGCACTTACCAAAACAAAGGCACAGAGAAGCTGGTAACCTACCTGTGGTGACACAGATAGGAAGTGGCTGTGCCTGGATTTGAACCCAGGTCTATCTGACTTCAAGCCTGTGTTCAATCGCCTCCCAGCCCCATCCGCAGCCCCACTCCTTTTTAACAACTGAGCTATCAGACTCTGTATACAGTTTATATACTGCCTCTCTATGTGCATAAATGTAATATCTATTTTTCCTTGCCACTGGAAATATGCCATATGGAAATATTTTCCTTGGAAATCATGTGCTTCCGCTGGTGCAGAGAATTCTCTCTCGTGAATGTGCTGTTATTTCTTTATCCCCTGCTCCTGTTGTGGGCATTTAGTTTGTTTCCAACACTTGCCCACCTATTTCCTAGCTTTTCTCTCTGACTCGGCCTCACCCCTGTCCACAGCCAAGACTGCATAAGGTTGCAGATTCTCTGGCCGCGGTGGCCCCAGGCGCTGGATTTCTTGGGTGGGGGAGGATGCCAGTCGGAGTCTGCACAGTAGGCAGAACGGGGCCTGCCCTTCGGGAAGGGGGGTCGGAGGGTCGCTCAGGGCTGTGGTGCCCTAGGAGGGGCCGGCTCCAGAACGGGGCGCGCCCTTGAGGGGTCCACGATCCCCTGCCCGTCCTGCCCCAGGAAGTGGGTGTCTGTCCTTTCTCCAGCCTGAGTCTCAGGCCCTGCTTTGCTCATCAAAATGCACTGGAGCCGTTGCTCTTCCTTCTCTTGTTTCCATATGGAATTCTCCACACCCTGAGCCCTAGGTCTTGGATCCTTCCTTTGATGGGTGTCTTTTATGTGCGGCTGGGTTCCTTCTTTTTTTTTTTTTTTTTTTTTTTTTTGCGGTACGCGGGCCTCTCACTGTTGTGGCCTCTCCCGTTGTGGAGCACAGGCTCCAGACGCGCAGGCTCAGCGGCCATGGCTCACGGGCCCAGGCGCTCCGCGACATGTGGGATCTTCCCGGACCGGGGCACGAACCTGTGTCCCCTGCATCGGCAGGCGGACTCTCAACCACTGCGCCACCAGGGAAGCCCTGGGTTCCTTCTTAAACCATGCTGGTCGTTTTCTGTCATTCCTTTTCTCTAAAAGGACCATCCCCACCATTCCTTTGTGGTTGCCCACCTGCTTGGACCCACTGAGGGTTCTTGACTCCCTTCCCCCATGCCGCCATCCGGGACATCCCTCCTTCCATAACAGCCCCTTTGGGGGCTCACAGCACACAGACGCGTGATGGAGGAATGCCCCTCCCCGCCGGACTCGTACCTAAGCCCCAGGCTGGGTTTAGCACAGGCACCTATGGCCCCTAACGTGTCTCATGTGTCTGTCCTAACGTGGGCTCCTGTCCCCTCTCCCTGCACTTGGCCGTGGCTCTCGGGAAGGGAGGAGGGTAGTCGCCTTCCTGACCAGAGTTTGTCAGCTGACCCGGCAGCCCCTGTGTGGCCACCTGCGGCTCTGGAGGTTGTTTCTGACCAAACAGCCCACGGTCAAGGCGCCGTTTTCACACAACAATGCCAAACATGTAAGTGTTGCAGGAAGGGGGACCGCTTCCAGGGCCTGAGAGTGGGCTCTTGTCTCACACTCGGAAATGAATTGTCCGAGGAGACACACGGGCTGACAAAGCAAGAGACTTTATTGCGAAAGGTTTCCCGGGCGGAGAGCAGGAGGGTGAGGGAACCCAGGGGAACTGCTCCGCCACGTGGCTCGCAGGCTCGGGTTTCGTGGTGATGGGGTTAGTTTCCGGGTTGTCTCTGGCCAATCATCTTGCTTGGTCCATAGTCTGACTCAGGGTCCTTCCTGGTGGCGTATCTCTCAGCCAAGGTGGAGTCCAGTGTGAAGGATTCTGGGAGGTTGGTCATCTTCTCCCTCTTTTGGCCCCTCCTGAATTCTCGGGACCTCCTGTTGTGAGACAGCTCAGGCAAGCGGTGATCATCGTGCCTGGCCCAAGTGGGTGGTTTTGGTCAACAGTTCCCTAACGTCTTAAGCGCATTGATTTTTGTTTCTCAGTGATGCAGGCATTAGAGGATCCCCAGCCTCACTCCATCCCCGAGTTGGATGTGTCTGGAGTTCAGGGGTTGGCTTGAGAGTGAGGCTGGGCTGGGTTTGAGGGCATGAGGAATGGGACAGGATTGGGAGGTGCTGGGCCAAGAATGGGGTGGGGTTCAGGGCTGAATTAATGGGTCTGATGCGTGCACTACTTCGCTATAGAAGAAAGAAATGCTGAAAGTGAAAGCTGTATTTTTTTAAACATAGTCAAAATCTTATGCACCCTCTGCTACCTCGCTTTATCCGGAGCTCACGGCTGAGTCTCCATGTTTGTGAAAAGAGAATTGGGGGGGTGGGAGGGACCAAAGAAGAGCCAGGAGAGACCCAGGGAATGCGTCACTGATCTGAAGTTAGAGACCCTCGGAAGCTTGGAGGTAAGGGGTCCTCAGTGGTCCCCCCGGCACCCCCCCCCCCTTTTGGGTGCTTGGGGCTCCTAGACCTCAGCCCGGCCTGGGGCTCCCCGCCCCCTGAGACCAGCCTCCTTATCTGGAATTCTGCTTGAGGGATGCCATTCCCTGTCATACCTGCTGGCTTGAGGGCTGGTGGGGCCTGGGAGAAGTGGCCCAGCCAACCATGGTCTGGTGGTTAGGCCTTTTCTAGCCACCAGCCCACCTCCTGTCTGCTGAGGGCCTGGTCCGAGGCCCAGTTAGGAGGTGGGGAGTGTAGATTAGTCTCCCCACATGTCCACAGGATCTGACAAGGTCTCGAGACTGGGAGGGTAGCCTGGGACAACCCGGCCCTCGGACCCTCTGCTCTGTGTTCCGGATGCTAGAGATGGTGTCCAGGTGGGGCTGCCCCGTGGCAGGTACCCACATGACTCGACCCTTCACTTGCTTTAAACTTTTAGTCAAAAGTCACCTTTCAGTGAGGCTCCTCTGGTCTCACTGTCTAAAACTTCAGCCCCTCCCCCAGATTGCACATCCTCCTTCCCTGCTTTATTTTCTTTTCATCACTTTACTGTTATTTATCCTACTATAAATTTCACTTATCTTGTTTATTATTTCCCCCCCCACACACACACAAAGAGATACACTATAATATAAGCTGCATGCAGACAGGAATTTTTGTCTGTTTTGTTTACTGCTGTACTCCAGCAGTTAGAACAGTGCCTGGCACCTAGTGGGTACTTGATAACTATTTAATTAATTCACTTATAATCAATTTATAAAATGAAGCAACAAGACGAGATGGTCCCCGTGGCCCCTTCCAACTCTGATTCCTTGTCCCTCTAATTGCTGGTCATTCAGCAAATATTTACTGGAGCCCTAGCTGGTCAGAATGACCCACTCGCCCTCAGCCCAGGAAGTTAAGACCCTGCTCAGCGGACCCCTAGCGCAAAAAAGAGATCAGAGCAAGCCCTGCTGTGCCTGCCCGTGTCACTTGTTTGGGCCCCGCATCCTCAGTCATGAGCTGGGATTAGCTGGTGGTGAGTGGGGGTGAGGGGAGACAGCCAGAGATCAGTGATCCAGGGGAGTTCTCAAGGTGTCAGAGAGGTACCCGTGGAGACAGGAGCCTTCGGTGCTGGAGAGCATGGTGAAACTCAAAGAGTGAGAAGCTCTTCAAAACCTGTTTGCGTTAAGGAGAAAGGCTCAGCTTGGGGCGTTACCCTTAACCTCTTGAACACTTGCTAATCTGCCTTTTTTAAAAGAAAAAGCAAGCTTCCAGCTCTAAAGCCTTGGCAGGCCATAGTACCTGGCTACAATTTAATAATAGAGTTTTGTGATCATTATTTTCATCTTAGTTATTTTCTGTTTATGACAAGTGACACTAGCCGTTTTACTTAGAGCAGCAATATAAAATTTGCTTTTGAAATAATTTTGAACCAAAAAAGTGCAATGATTTAAAGAAAAATAATGATTTATAGGTGGTACGTCAAGGCAGTATAGGAGTGACAGACGTTTAGGAAATATTCAACAAATATTTATCGAGCACTTACTATGAGCCAGCAGATGTTCTAGGTGTTGGGGGTGCAGCTGGAAATGAAACAGACAAAACCGCTACCATCCTGAGTTTACATCCGAGTGATGGCAGAACAGTGATCCAGATACTTAGTGACATCCCAAGGAGGGTGGGCGCCAGAGGCCATCCCTTCCCCCGGGTTTCCCGACATTGCCGGGCACCAGCTGTCCCCCCGCACCACGGTGTGAGGGGCCGAGGGGACCCCCCGCTGCAGGCGGCATCGGGCAGCAGCTATGGCAGGGCAGGAGCGGAGCCCTGGACGTGGGAAGGCCTTCATGGGGAAGCTCCTGCCGGAGTCCCGGGCAGAGGGGAGGTGCCACTGGGCTCTCCGTGCACCTGCAGGCTTGGCGTTGGAGCAGGGGTGGGTGGGTGCAGAGCCGGAACTCAAGCTCTGATGCTCCTCCCCGCAGACCAGCTCCCCCCGCGCCCTGGAGCACTATTTCCACGCCGTGGTGGCAGCCGTGGAGCAGATGGCCAGCGAGCCCAGCCCGAGCCGGGAGGGCCACCTGGAGAGGCTGGAGGAGATTTACTGCTCGCTGCTGGGGCCGGCGGCCGCCGCGAGGGGCCGCTGCGGCGGTAAGCGTCAGGCGCGGTGAGCTGCGGTCCGGGTACCCTGCAGGGGGCGCCAGAGACCAGCGCTGTACCTGCTCAGAGTCTGCGCGCGTGGCTGAAGCGGGGTGGGACACACAGCGGCTCCCGAGAGCTTGAAGGTCCCGGGCTAATTAGAAGGTGGGTAATTAGGGTCATGATAACAGCTGACACCTACTGCGCACCTACTATACCCCAGTTGCTGTTCTCAGCAGTTTACATATATTAAATCAATTAATCCTCACAGTACTTATGAGGTAGAAAGCATTAACCCCATTTTGCAGGTGAGAAAACAGAGTTAGAAAGAGGCTATAAATCTTGCCCAAGATCACCCAGTTAGTAAGTAGCAGAGCTGAGATTCAAACCCAGGCTGTCTAGTTCTTAACCACCATACTATAGTAACCAAGGGATCCAATGGTCCACGGATTCCCTAAAGAGCATCTACATCACTTACACCTGGTCTCACAGAGTTTTATTCCAACGCTTCCTTTCTGCTTGCCTTTTTATAAGACAATGCCATACACTGATGGGAAGCAAGCCCGTGTGTGTTGCAGAAACTCCAAAGAGCCCAGAGAAGTGTCTGGAACATATATTTTCTGGCTACTGGAGGACGGTTCTGATTTGTGTCCTGTTTCATGGCCACTCAAAGCACCCGTGGAGTTTGTCAGCCTGCATGCCCTGAACACACGGTGCACCCGTAGGTACACAGCACTTGCCTGAGGACTGGAAACCACGGGCAGAGGCCAGTGTGCCGGCCCTCCCTGGGCTTGACCTCGGCAGCCCAGGGAGGGTGGAGACTGCCGAAGTCAGGGTGAGGCAGGCAGGTTGGGCACCTGCTTAAAACTTCCTCCTCCTTCTCAGCCTCCTCTTATTTTGCTTTAATATTCTACACTGCCTCTGATTGCCACGTGGAAATGTCTGTTCATGAAGCCTGTCCCCTCCCAAAGCTGGGCCAAACCCTGGGGCAAATCTGGCTTTGCTCTCCTTGGGTACCACTTGCTAACTCAGCAGTAAATCTGCGTGGGCAGGACAAGACCACTCTGGGCTGCCCCCACCATCCCAGACACATCCAGGCACCTGCCTCCCGCCCAGACTTGCCCTGCGCATCTTAATGGCCAGCCAGCACCCCCGTTGAGCCCCTGCTGCTGGGAGGCAGCATGGGACAGTGGTTATGGGCACCCTGTCATGGGTAAAAGCATGGACTCTGTAGCCGGGCTGCCTGGGCTCAAATTCTGGCTCTGCCACTTACTGTGTGACCTCAGACCAGTTACTTAACCTCTCTGTGCCCCAACTCCTCCTCTATAGTGAAGATAATATTACCTGTGCCCCAGGGTCGCTGGTAGGACCTGGTGAGACGATAGCACTGTGGGCACGGTGAGAACAGTAGTAAGTGTTCAGTGACCGTGGGTTGCTCTCCCCTAAGGAAGCTTGCAGCCTTGTTCAGGAGGGAGCTGTGCTATGTGGAAGTTAAATCCTAAGGCTACATGTTAGGTGTGCCCAGTGTGCCGCCAATAAGGTCTGGGGAGGGGATGACTCCCAGGCTGGAGTGTCAGGAAGGCTTCTGGAAGGAGGAGAGGGGGGTTGGCTGGCCCTGCTCTCTCCCCTGGATGCAGGCTTCCTGCTGCCCTTCGTACTTGGCCGTGACTCTTTTCAGCACCAGGAGCAAACGTTAATTGAGCATCTACTGTGTGCAGGCTCCTGGAGGAGGCCCTGAGAAATACGGAGGCCTTTCCCCTGGTCTGCATGTGGCCAGGATGTCTCTGAACAGTGGGAAAGGCAGCATGGCTGCAGCGGGGCTGGGGGAGGGAGAAAAGGTTGGGAATGATGCAGTGAGCTGGCTTGTGCAGGGTCTTGAAGGCCCAGCTAGGAAGTTTGTAGGAAACTGGGAGCCGCTAGGCATCCTCGGGCAGGTGTTAGGCCCTGGATGAGCTGATGGTGGCAGAGAGGCAGAGGAACTCGACAGGGCCAGATATGGGAGGGCGAGGGTCTCTGCCACCCACCCCCATAGGCCCCACACAGGAGCTGGGGGTGGGGAGAGGGCAGAGGAGAATCCCACAGTCCTCTCCTGCATGGTCTCCACAGCCTGTCCTTCAGGTGAGCCCCCCCAGGACCGGCTTCCAAGCATCCCTCTGCCCAGCCCCCATATCACCTTCCACCTGTGGACCAATGAGGAACAGCTCTGTAAGTGCAGTGCCTTTGACCCCTCTTGGGGGAGCGGGCTGGAAATAGTGGTGTATGCGTGTGTGCGTGTGTGTGTGTGTGTGTGTGTGTGTGTGTGTCTGTGCATCTGTGTGTGTTTGTGTGTATGTCTTTTGGTGTGTGTGCAGGTGTCTTTGTGTGTCTGTGTCTACATGTTTGCGTCTGTGTGTGCACTGTTTGTGTGTCTATCTCTGTATATTTATTGTGTATCTGTGTGTATGTCTACGTCTGTGTCTCTGTGTGTGCCTGTGTGTATCTTTGTGTGTCTGCCTGTGTATCTGCTGTGTGTGTGTCTGTGTGTGCTCCTTGTTCCCTGAGTTGTTTGCAGCATCTGAAAAGAGGATGCATTTGCTCTATGTCAGAACACTCCGTGCATTAGCCACTGGCCACATGTGTCTAGAAAGTGTCTAGAAAGTGTCACATGCCATGATGATGCCAACAGACAATACACGTCCCCAAGAAGGAGGCAGGCACAAAAAAGTTATGGTTTCCAGAGCAGGAGGGGGCCACACTTCCCTTCCACGCTGATGTCTGTCCCCCAGTCCCCCTGGCTCTTCTCAAGGGAGGGGGGAAGATAGAGCGGCAGGTTGTGGTGGGACGTGCCAGACTGGTGAACTGGGTTCAAGGCCCACGTGTCCTTTCACGTGCTGGGTCACCCTGGACGGCAGTTCCCTGGGGGCCTCAGTTTCCTCAGGAGCAATAAAATGAAGGTCGATTAGAAAAGCCAGGAGCTGATGCTCTGTTATCTGTGTCCCGGGGGAAACTATGGGGGGGCTGGAGAATGGAGGATGCTAATGAGCAAATATAGAGAAGAGGGCTCTAGAGGCAGGAGGCACTGCATTAAGCTACAGGACTTCTCAGAGCCTTTAAAATGTTTACCTGTGGCAGGAGTGTGTGGAGTTCTTAGTCTCTGTTGGCCACAGAACCTCTATTCCTTCATGGAGCATCTCATGGGGCTTCTGTTCAGCTAACCGTGTGTGGGAAACACGGAACCACTGGCCTTGCCAGGGTGGGGCCCTGCCAGCCTCGCATCCACTCTCCGCCCTGATGGTCCCCTTTGTCTCCGCGTCCCAGGGAAGGAACTGGTTCTCTTCCTGCGCCCGCGATCCCAGCTGCGCCTCAGTGCAGACTTGGAAGCCTTGGATCTGCAGGGCCTCCTGCCAGACCGGGAGTTGGCCCGGGCGTCCATGCTGTCCACCGACAGCGGCATCGAGCGGGACCTTCCGTGGGGGGCCGACGAGCCGCCCACACCTGGCAGCCCCGAGGTGGAGCGAGCCAGGCTGAAGCGCAAAGGGGGCATCAAGAAGCGGGTGTGGCCCCCGGACATCCTGATGCCCGGCAGCTGGGATGGACCCCCGGGGCTGCACCAGAGGACTGGCAGGCCCAGCGGGGATAGGGGGCTGCTGCCTGGGGTCTCCCGGCTGCACACGGCCCGGGTGCTGGTGCTAGGGGACGACCGGATGCTGGGGCGTCTGGCCCGGGCCTACCACAGCCTCAGGTAGGGCCCCACGGGGCGGCTGGGGATGGTCGGGGCACAGGTGGGCCCAGCCTGTGCTAGTGAAGGATGGAAGGGTGCGGGGGGGGGGGGTGCGCTCAGGAGGCCGAGACCAGGCTGGGATGGCAGAGGATGGTGCACAGTAATCCCCCTGCCCCCGCACCCGGCCACCACGGAGCACTGTGCTTCCTGCTTTACTGCACCCATTCTACAGATGAGGAAACAGAGGTTCAGAGAGAGTAGGTCAATTGCCCAGAGTCAAGAGATAATAAATAGCAGAGCCAGGATGTGGAACCAAGTCTGTCTGAAGTCAAAACCCCTGCCCTCATGCCTGTGCTCTGCTCCCCCTTGCCAGGAAACGAGAGACCCAGAAGTTCTGCCTCACCCCCAGACTCAGCCTGCAGCTCTACTACATCCCTGTGCTGGCATCTGAGGTGGCTGGAGGGGGGGCGGGGGACGTGGGGGAAGAGATGGAAGGTGTCAGGAGCGGGAACTGGGATCGTTCTTCCTTAGGATGTGGAGCTGGGAGAGACCTGGAGGCTTTCTGTCCCAGAAGCCACAGACATGGGCCCTGGGGGCTGCACGTGGCCAGAGAGAGACGCTCTCTCACTGGGAGCATCGTTTTGCTTTTCTAACGGAATTAATGGCAAGCTTCTCAAACGGGGCTCTCTGTCACACACACACCCCCTCAGCCACATACACACCACCCTTCCCGGGGGGGCCGGGAATGAAGCCGTACCGGCAATTTTTCTTTTCTGTCGCCCACTCTGCTTCTGATTGGAAAGCATTAAATTCAAGGCAATACTTGTCTCTCCCCTTTAAAGGCTGATGACCATTTTTCAGTGTCCCTGGCGGGCATCCTCAGGGAAGGGGATTCCAGCTTCATCTCAGGTGTAAAACAAGTCTTCACAAATCGACGCCCCAAGAGGTTGAGTGATTTGGCCATATTCCCAGAGCTAGTTTGCCCGGGACTGGTACCTGGGGACCCTCCGATAGGAAGAGAGTGCCAGAGAGCGCCTGACGGGTCTGCCCTGTCCCCTTGTCCCTCTGTCCCCAGAAGCCCACAGCATCCAGGCGTTCGGAGCTCGGAGAGGTGGCTGCGTTCCTGGGCCGCGCAGACCCGTGGTATGAGAGCATCGTCAACACCCTGTGCCCCGCCATCCACAAGCTGGCAGAGATGGTAGGGCAGCGAGGGTAGGAGGGCGGCAGGGAGGTGGTAGGGGGTGTTTTCTTGACCCTTGGCCTCAAGAGTCAGCCCAGGGAGCCCCATGAGGGGCGAGGCAGGAAGGAATACAGAAGAGGAGCCCTAACCAGCTAGTGGCTGGAATTCACTCGGAGCACGTACCAGGCACCTACGGGAACGCTATGGAGAAGATAAAGTAAAACATTCTTAAGTGTGTAGGCCAATTATATGCCTTCTTCTGTGAGTTTCTTGTGCTATTTTCTCTCCAACTGCAACAGTTCATGCTTCCTGAGCACTGCCCCATGCCAGGCACTGTTCTAAGCACTTATACGCAGCAGCCCTACCAACCAGGTACTCCTGTCTGTCTACAGGCGCTATTGCCACTGCATCCCCATTTTACAGATCGAGCAGCTGAGGCACGAAGGGATTAGGTCACTTGCCCAAAGAAACAGAAGGAGTCCCGCTTGGAATCAGGCAGCTTGATTCCAGAGCCTGTTCTCTTAACCACAAGCCATAGTGCCAATCCCCCACCCCAGGCAGTGGTTGGGGGGCAAGGAGAGATCATCTTTTACTGATTTGAAAGGCCTTCCCTTTCTGCTGTCATATGTGCTGCAGACATTTTCCCCCACTTTTTTATTTGCCTAACAATTTTGTCAGAGTGGGTTTTTTTTTGACTTACAGAATTTCAATATTTTTACCCTTTATGATTTTTCCCTTTGGAGCCATGCTTTGAAAGGCCTGCTCCACTCCAAGATTAAGTAAATATTTACTGATAATTTCTCTAACCATCTTATGGTCTCAATTTTTACATGTAAATAACCTATCTGCCATTAATTTTAGTATGTAATTTTATTTTTTCCAAGTGTTTAGCCAGTTGTCCTAAAGCTATTTATTGCGTAAACCATCTTGCCCCATCAATTTGAAATGCCACTTTTATCATTTACTAAACTGTCACACATGCTTGAGTTGATTTCTGGATACCTATTCTTTCTGATTCATCTATTCATTTCTGTATAAATTAGCACTTTTTAATGTCAATGTTTGGCACGGTACATCTACCCCATTACTCATTCAAGAGTAATTGAATTTCCAGAATTGGAATTGGAAAGTCTTGTTTCTTTCCAGATAAATTTTAGAATCCCTTTGTCGAGTTTTATTTTTAATTCCCTTGGGATCTCGATTGAAGTTGGGAGAATTAACATCTTTAGCACATTATGTTACACTCTCTGGGGGTGAGATATAACTCTTCACTTATTAAAGTCTTCTTGTATCTCCCTCAGGTGAGTTGTACAGTTTTCATCATATAGATTTTACCCATTTCCTGCTAAATTTATTCCCTATGTTTGACGGTTTTTTCTTATAGTTGTGGATTTTTCTCCCATTATATTTGGGTAGTAGTCACTGCTAGTATAAAAGGAGGTTATTGATTTTTACATAATTACTTTCTAACTGGCCACATTTTGCTTCATTGCCTGATTGATTAGGACATCTTCTTATATTCTAATAAAGATATTGGAGATAGGCATCTTTTCTGAATTATTACTTATCTGAAAATGTCTTTGCCTATATATGAAAGACTGTTTAGCTGGGTATTAAAATACCTTTTCCTCGAAACCTGGAGGATACTAACAGGAGAAACATCTGATGCAGGGTCTCATTTATACTCCTTTGTTGGTAGCTGTTTTCCCTGCCAAGACACAGGTAGGATTTTTATTTTCCCCTGCTCTCTTTCCCCTTATAATTAGCAATTTATGTGACCCTTACACTTAACTCCAAAAGCAGTTTCCACATGAAGAAAATGGAAATAGTGTGAACAATGGCGGCACTATTAGAATAAGTGCATAGTTCCTCAGTGCGAGCTTTTTGAAAGGAGCGAGATTTCAATAGACCAGATGTGAAAGTTAGAAGAGATATTATAAGATTGGATATGGATGAAATACGCTGAGCTGCTTTCCAACTCTGATACTATCAGACATTATATAGACGTTCTGTTTACCTGAAAAACCCATTATGCTTTATAATCGTATGGGGTTGGGGAAGGCCTGTAGGACACGGCACTAGTCATTTCCCAATAGCATGTAAACATTAGCTCATTTATTAATATAGTCAGATGCCACAAGAACTCAAAGAGACATCAGATCATCTGGTTCCAGCTCTCATGCCCAAGCTTACCTGGCTAATGAGTAGCTAATGCAAACTAGAACCCACTCCAGTGTCTCTCATCATTACTTACATTCTCAAGCATCTTGTCTACCCCAAGCACCCAGCACAGTGCCTTATACACAGAGCTGCCCAATATGTCTGTGTGTGATTGAAGTGAATCAGAGTCCCTGAGATGGGGATTTAGACAGTCATCTTTTGATTAGGAGCAGAAATCAGGTGGTCGGAAAGGCTTGGACTGTTGAAGGACCAGCTGGGTTCGTGTATCACAGAGGGCACGTGGGGGCTTTGGAGTTTCTCTGTTAAGAAAGTGGTGGGAATTCCCTGGTAGTCCAATGGTTTAGACTCAGCACTTTCAGTGCCAGAGCTCGGGTTCAATCCCTGGTCGGGGAACTAAGATCCTGCAAGCCATGCAGCGTGGCGAGAAAGAAAAGAAAAGAAAGAGTCAGCTCCCACAGTGGGATGGAGGAAGCTGGCTGAAGACAGTACCTCTCCCTCACTTACAGCCTCTCTCCCTGGACACGTCCCAGACCGTAGACCCCTTCATCCTGGATGCCATCACCTACTATGTTCGCATGGGCACCCAACCCATCTATTTCCAGATCTACGCAGTCAAGGTAAGCTTCCCACCCGGGGCTCCAAGGAGACCATGGCAGCCTGCTGGACCCCAGGACCCCACAACCTAAATACCCTGGCTCCAGGGAAACAGGGGGCCAGGATGCAAGTCATAAACTCATCCAGACATTCTTGCTTGTTAACTTTCTCTTCTTACTCTCTGGATGAGTCAGATAATTATTAACTCCTAAGGCCTCAGGTTCAAGCAGAAGCAGGTCTTCTTCATGTGGAAGGTTCTCTCCCTCACCTCACGTCCTCTCCTTCATCCTTGCTAGCCCTCATGTCCTACAGCAAAACTGCCCTCATCTCTGCTCCTCTCAGCCCGATTGGGTGCTTCTCCTGGGTGCCCCTGTGATGCCCTGGGCATCCCTCTGACACCTCACTGCCACTTTGTCGTATATCTGCAGACACCTGTCTCTCCCCACCAAGACTCTGAGTCCCCTGAGATAAGAGACTGTCCTTTGTTTATCTTTGAATGTCCTGCTATTAACACCATGAAGTGTGTGTGTGTGTGAGTGTGTGTGTGAGTGTGTGTGTGTGTGTGAGTGTGTGTGTGAGTGTAAACCAAAGAGCGGGTCAGTGTGGGACCGGCTGGGTGCAGTGGGTGGAAAGTTAGAGCCTGTGTGCGGTACTAAGAAGTTCATGGCTTTGCCTCCTGGTCCCCCCACCTGCTCACTGTGGGATCGCGGTACCTCTACCTCTCTAACATTCATTTTCCCCATCTTCAAAATGGGAATAGGGACTTCCCTGGTGGTCCAGTGGTTAAGACTCCGCGCTCCCAATGCAGGGGGCCCAGGTTCGATCCCTGATCAGGGGACTAGATACCACACGCATGCCGCAACTAAGCGTTTGCAGGCCGCAACTAAAGATCCTGCGTGCCACAACTAAGACCCAGCACAGCCTAAATAAAGGCAGAAAGAAATATTAAAAAAAAAAAAAAAAAAGGTGGGGCTGTCTCAATTGGCACAAGCCTTTCTCCTTTCTGGAAGGCAGGTGCAATGTAGGAGATGGGGCAACCATTTAAAATAGGAATAATCTTCACCACAGGGTTCCTGTGAGAATTCAAATGAGTAGAAAAATAAATTAAAAGATAGGGGAAGATAAGGGCAAGGAAGTCGGCCCATAGAGGATCTGAGGGCGGCGGTGGGCACTTGGGTTAGAAGCCTGCATCCCGGGCTGCGCGGGTTGGGGGGAGCTGCCTCTGCTGGGGACGGCCTCCTCCAGCCTCCGTCCTCCCTGCCTCCCTCCAGATCTTCCTCAGTGACCTGAGCCAGGACCCTGCAGAGGACATCTTCCTCACCGAGCTCAAAGTCAAGATCCAGGACTCCAAGTTCCCCAGAGGTGGGCATCTGTCTCCCCTTTCCCAAAGCTTGCCCTGGCTCAGCTCCTCAAGGCCCACTTCCAGAAAGTCCCCCCACCTCTCACCTAATGGTTCCCCCCAAGCCCCGTCCCACCTCTGCTGAATACCGGGGGGCTTTGCCCTACTGAAGGGCAGCCTGGCCCCCCTAGGGTGCTGCCTTTCCATCCCGGGACAGATGCAGCTTCCGCTCCACCTCAGGGAGGTGGGGAGCCAGGACGGGAGGGAAGGGGACCTCCCGCCTTCATTCAGCCTCTTCTCGTCCCCTGCAGAGAGCCTTTCACCCCGGAGGAGGGGCGTGGCCGAGGGCCCAGGGGCTGAGCTCTCCGTTCGCTACCAGAAGGTCAGTGTGTGTGGCGTGGTCAGCAGGTGGCCCGGAGGTTCAACTGGGGGGAAGCAGTTGTCAGGGACATGAGGGGGAGCAGATAGAGCCAGAGGAAACTTCTGCCCTTTTCTCGTGGCTGCCCCCAGAGTTTCCCAGCCTCCAGGGAGTTTTGCAGGGATGGGGGGTTACAGTTGGCCTTCCACATAGCCAAGGAGGCGATCTGACCTAAGGAACAAGGCGCTGTCCCCTTGCTCAAAAATACCCTCCTCGGGCTTCCCTGGTGGTGCAGTGGTTGAGAGTCCGCCTGCTGATGCAGGGGACGTGGGTTCGTGCCCCGGTCCGGGAAGATCCCACATGCCGCGGAGCGGCTGGGCCCGTGAGCCATGGCCGCTGAGCCTGCGCATCCGGAGCCTGTGCTCCGCAACGGGAGAGGCCACAGCAGTGAGAGGCCCGCGTACCGCAAAATAAATAAATAAATAAAATACCCTCCTCTCTAGCTGACCCGATGTATGGGGGCGTAGTCCTTGGTCTGGAAGGCTCCCTGGGCTGAGTGTTCTGAGCCTGCATCCTCTAGCTCCTTACTGGACATTAGTGACACGGCCAACACTCAGGGCAGGGGCGGGAAGCGGGGGATGGGGGGAAGGGGACAGAAGCAGGACTGTTGACGTGGTGTCGTGTACCTTGTCCTGAGGACCCCCTTCCGTCCCCGCATCCCCCTCCCCAGGCCCTGCTCAGCCACCGCACCCGAGAGGTCACCGTCTCCCTGCGGGCCACCGGGCTGGTCCTAAAGGCCCTTCCAGCCGGTGACACTGAAGGTGAGGGGCTGGGCACGCAGAGCAGAGACAGGGAAGGACACGCACGGGAAAGCAGGGGCGCGGAGGAGAGAGGGCGGAGAGAGAGGAGACGGGCTGAGCCAGGGGAAGGAGCCTCCCTCCCTGTCCCTGGGATCACGGAACGTGGTCGAACTCCTACCCGTGCTGGGCCCGGAGCTGGGCGCCAGGCTGCCCGGGCGAGGACCCGCCTGGCCTTCAGGTTGGTCAGCATCGAGCAGCGCTGGGTGATGCTTCTGCCGCCGGAGGAGCCTGAGCTGGAAGGTGGAGGGACCACGCAGAGGGGTGTACGTGGCCTCCTGTACGTGAAGGAGACGTGTGACTTTGGCAATAGCTCTAAGACAAGAGGCGGTCACAGAGCAGTGGGGCAGGAGCACAGGTTCTAGAACCAGATGGGCAGGCTTCGAAGCCCAGCTTTGCCGCGTTTCCATCTGTGTGACCTCGGGTTACTTGTGACCTCTACCTGTTTGTTCATTTCTAAAATAGAGACAAGATGCTAATGTACGTGCACACGGTAAACTAGCGTCAGCCCTATTGTTAAACTTTGATTTCTTCTGTTTCCCTTACAAAACTCCCACCCCATCCACCCCCGCTCTAACTCCTGAATCTCCTCCACATTTTCCATCACTCGGTCCTATCCGAACTGTTCTTAGATCTCTAAGAACCCTCCTTCGTCGGCAGGGAGGGGTATAGCCGGGCAGCAGTCACACAATAATGGTTTTTGACACATTATACGCTGTGAGGAAAGTCAAAGAAATGCTCTCGACATGTTGGGACAGATGCCCTCCTACAGCCCTCTGTCTTACACACCATCCTGGGCTAGGTGTTCCTGCCATTCTGAGCATGCCCAGTGGCTGCGGAAGAACTTCTTCCCATTGGAAACGGGTACAGGAGAAGGTGAAAGAAAGGATTTAGGTTGGTGATGTCTGCTATGCCTCAGGATATAGAAATGTGGATTCTCCAGGGGACGGAGACCAATGATCTGGAGGGAACTGAGGCTTGGCGGGGACCGAGGCGGAGTCAGGAAGTAGGGGCTGCGCAGGGTGTGGGGAGGGGGTAAAAGGGGGCAGGGCAGTAGTCAAGGTGGGTTCGTGTCCTTCTTGGGAGGCGGAGTCTCGAGCTCCCCTCCTTCCCTAGAGGCCCATTCACAGCTCCTCACCCACCATCTCATTCTTCCCAGTTTCAGGGCCCACCCACTGCCCCCCAACTGCTGCTCCCGAGACAGACCACACATGCCTGAATATTAGCGTGACAGAGGTTGTCAAGACCTCCAACTTGGCAGGAAGGTCCTTCTCTGTAAGTACTGGGGAGATTCATGCAGGGTAGGTGGCGGGGAGCCCAGCGGGAGGGTTTCAGCGAAGGGGGAATGGACTCTTGAGCCTTTCTGAGCCTTTGCTGTTGAAGTGGGTCTTCCTGCTGGAAAGAATCTGCTTTCCAGTCAATCTGTTTGAAATACTGAGCACCAACTGGCATAAGTAAGGCACTGGAAGAGTTAAGGCCCCGCCCTCCACCTCCACCTGGACCATCTGAGGAACTAAGACGTACCCAGATAGTGCAAAATGCACCCGGGTTCTGGCGTCCCCTGCACACAGCAGCTAGACTCCCAAACAGCAATGGCCCGGCCTTTGACCACATCAAACCAGCTCTTTCAACCTCATCACCCTACCGCCGCCCTTTGCCCTTTGCCTTAACCCTTACCGATACTCATAGAGAGTCCCTTATTGATACAGACATAGGACCCGCCCATTTTCTCCCTATCTGATGGCCTCTCTGGACTTCACTGCCCTACTCGGCTGGGCTTGGAGCCCGTGATCATACCTGAACCACGTTCTCAAGACAGCCTCAGCTTCCCCACATCGCCTGTCAGGCAGACACTACCTTTAGGTCAAGCCACCCACTCGGTCTGATGCTCAGGTGTCTGAGTGCTTCCGCGATACCCTGCATCCACGAGGTCAGGGCCGTGACCTTCCACCTCATCCCAAGCCTTGGCATCACTCAGCCCTTTTCTCTGGACTCTTTTTCCTAAGCCGATTCCTTAAATAGCCACTGTTCTCCACTTCAGTCCATGGCCCACTTCTTTTCTTATTCCCTGGACTCTCAAAACCACGTCCATGGCTTTAGTCCAAGTTGTTAAGGGTGCCCAAACCTTTATCTCCTGCTCTGACATTCATCCCTGAGTGACTGACTCCTGCATTCAACTAAGTTAGCATGACCTCCGTGTCCCACGACACCCCAAACTCAAGATATTCAAAACCAGAGCCAGTGCTTTCTAGTAGTTAAGAGCTCTCTGGAGCCAGACTGCCTGGGCTCAGATCTGAGCTGTCATTTACGAGCTACGTGATTTAGGCAAGACACTCCAGCTCTCTGTCCCTCAGTCTCATTATCTGGAAAACGGGGACAGTAATGGTACCTACCTGTCCGGTTGTTGTGAGGATTAAATGATGGTGACGTGTCAAGCTTCTAGAAGAGTGCTTGGCCAAGTCACAGCTATATATGTATTAGCGGCTGTTTTTATTTCATCCCCTCCTCCCCTGTGTCTTGTCTCTCATTCAGCGGGACCATCGTTAACCAGTCACCTGTCCCGGCAACTTTGGAGTCAGCTCAGATGCCTCCCCTTTCTCACCTCCCCGTGTCCACTGGTTTTCTCTCTCAAACACTCTCACACCTCTCTCTTCCTCTCCATCCTCCTTCTTGTGGTCCAGTGAGGTTGACCATCTGTCCCAATTTGCCAGGGACTAAGGGGTTTCCTGGGACGAACTGGTCACCCTTGGGCCAGACCTTCATCCACCCCCTTCTGGACAAACACTACAGCCTCCCAGCCGGTCTCCCCGATGTCATTCCAGTACTCCTGCAATCCACCCTCCACACCTTTGCCTGCATGATCTTTCTAAAACAGAACTCGGACACATGACTCTGTGCTTAAAATCCCTCGACCATTTCCTACTCTCCAGGGCAGAAGGGCTGAGAAACTTCAGTGTTGCATAGCTTGGTTCCGCTTTCTCTCCATCTGCAACCCTGGCCACCCCTGCGTGCACTTTACACGGGGGTATCTGTGATACCGAACCAAACCTGGGTCCTCTCGCCTGCACTCAGCAAAGCCAATACACTGACACCGGGTCGTGGCGAAGGAAAGTGCAGTGTTTATTGCAGGGTGCCAAGCAAGGAGTCCAGGGCAGCTGGTGCTCAAAACCACCAAAGTCCCCGATGGGTTTCAGAGCTTTTAAAGGCCAGGTGAGGGAAGGGCGTCCCAGTGCATGTGATCAGCTGGTGCACAGCTCTCTGATTGGCTGATGGCGAGGTAACAGGGTGGTGTCACAGCGGTTAATGTTATCAATCCTTAGGCGCCAGTAGGTCTGGGGGCTCCGTGCTCATGGTCATCAAGTAGTTAATTTCTTCCATTTGGTGGTGGTTTTAGCATCTGTAAAACAGCTCAGGAAATGTGCATCAGATACTGTTATCTAGGTACTTCGGAGAGGAGCTACAGCAGAGGATGTGGGGGAGGCGTCTGTCCGGGGAAGGTCCCGTAGTATACTGCTCGGTTCCATTTGGAAGTGTACTGGCAGACCTTCCTCTGTGCCTTTGTTCACGCACTTTGCTTGGCCTGAAACCCCGTGCCTCCCTTTCTCTTCCCCATCTTCCTTTCATAACCCCTATTTCTCTTTCAAGATGAAACTCAGGTGTTATCTCCCCCAGGAGGCCCTTCCCTCCACCTCCTCCACCACACTCCCCATTCCCCACTCCCCGGAGAGCTAGGGACTCCACCTCTGTGCTTCCCCAGAGCCCTGGGGACAGAGCCACTGAAGCATTTGCAAAACTTGTCAATGACGTGATCTCGTGGCTCAGGCCCTATCTCCGTCTTTCCAGCGCCCACCGTGGGAATGGCCCACAGCAGGAGCGGGCTAGATGTTCCCTGATCATCTGATCCAGCCTCCACCTATGCAGGATCTCACCTCTAACCAGAGTTCATCTTTTCTGGGGCAGCCTGTGCACTGGAGGAGCGCTCTGACGGGCTGAGAGCTTTGTACTGAGCTGAGATCTTCCAACAGGACAGCTCTGTATTTGAGCTTCAGGTTCCAGGGTGGACCTATTTACCTTTATGTATTTCCCCTTTCAAAGTCAGTTCCTTACCACGGTTTCTATTTTTAATGACCTCTTTAAATAACCTGGTTGTGAGCTTTTTGAAAATCTAAACTTACCACCCTAGCGAGTTCCCTTTTACCTCTGTACTGTCTCACTACCTACAAGGTAGTTGCAAAGGTGAGAAACAAAAGCACAGAGTGATTAAGAATCATATCCAAGGTCACACGGCTAATAAGTGGCAGAGCCAGGATGAGAACCCCGGTGGTCTGGGTGGAGTCTCCCGGGAGATTCCTGCACACTCTGCCCATAGACTCCTGGCCGCCAAGCCCACCTTCCACCCCACAAAAGTCCAGCAGAAATGGCTGGACATGCTTGACCCCCCGCCCCAGGTTGAGGCTCTGTTTGTCCCTCTGCTGTTTGACAGTAGGAAGGTGGATCAGCCCTGCCTACAGGGAGCTTATGAAAAACAGGGAGCTTATGAAAAAGGCCCAGGCCGGGGCTGGACTCCAGACCACTTAGATCAGAATTTCTGATTTTATGTTTTGGAAAGGTGACTCCAGGGGTGGAGAATACTTGAATGAGATGGAGGCTAAGGCTCTAGAAACTCCAGTGCTCTGTGGTGGTGAGTCATGCAAAGCTGCCATCCACGTGTGCTATGGGCCAGTGACCGGAAAGGCCCTCAGTGCCCCACCTGGAGCCCAGGATGCTCTACGTTCTCTGACCAGGGGGAGGGGTCTCTCGGGAGCAGCACCCTCAGGTCACGGGTTGGAGGGCTGCCTCAGGGCTGTTTTCCGGTGCTCCTGGGTACTTTCTGGAGAAGCTGCGCAGGGCTGTGGGTGTGGAAGGTGGGAACACCATGACCCGGGTTCCCCGTGCAGAGGACGTAACTAGCCCCGTGGTACAAACTGGTACAGGCTTAGTCTGAGTCATGAGGATAGGTGGCTGTTTTCCAGACCCTCTGTCTCTGCCCCAGGGAAATAATTTTGTATGCAATCCAACACTGAGTACAGGGGTCAGGGCTTATAAAAACCCTGAAGTAGCCCCAAATTACGTACATAACATGCCTGTCAAAAAGGAGGTGCTCAGAGGGGCTTCCCTGGTGGTGCAGTGGTTGGGAGTCCGCCTGCCAATGCAGGGGACGCGGGTTCATGCCCCGGTCCGGGAGGATCCCACACGCCGCAGAGTGGATGGGCCCGTGAGCCATGGTCGCTGGGCCTGCGCATCCAGAGCCTGTGCTCCGCAGCGGGAGGGGCCACATCAGTGAGAGGCCCGCATACAGCAAAAAATAATAAAAAAAAATAATAAAATAAAAAAATAAAAAGGAGGTGCTCAGGTCACTTCAGCACCTGGCAAGCTCTAGCTGTAGCATCCCAGGTTGTGTTTGAAATTAAGGACGACAGGTGGGAAAAAGAACTGTGGAAATGATGGGAGAGCCAAGGACCAAGGCTGCCTGGAAGCATCTTATGCAGGCTTGACACTACTCAGGGTCACTTGCAAGAAGAGAGGCGGGACCCTTGGGTACTGAACTGAAACACACAGGATTCCAGGGTAGGAGGTGTTGGCCGGGCCATCCGTTACCAAGGTGATGCTCCCCAAGCTGTCTCTGTCGCAGACGGTGACAAACACCTTCCGGTCGGCTAACGTCCAGATCCAAAGCCAGGACCAGAGGCTGCTGACACTGTTGCTGGACAAGGACAGTTGCCGCGCGTACAGGGATGTGGCCAGGTGAGGCTGGGCTCCGTGCCCCTGGGGCAAAGCTTCCCGGCTGCCGGCCCCGCCCCCGCTCTTGCCTGAGCCCTGAACGCCTTGTTGGGGTGGATCGTGGGCCAGGCAGGTATCCCTGATGGGTGTGGACTCAGGTGATGACTTAAATCCAGGAAGAAGAGCAAATGACGGCTGACCTTGGGCAGTAGCTGAAATTCAGTTCTCCCGAGATTCTTCTACAAATGCTCAGCCTGCAGCCCTCCCGATCCAACCTCCTGTGCTGGCACGGCCCCCAACACAGGCTGCCCTTCTGTGGCAGCTACGACCCAGTTAACACGACACTTACTGGTGTCCCCTAGGGAGGTGTTTTTGGGTCAGGCAGGCGCACAGGGTGACCCGTTCAGGCGTATCCTCCTCTCTGTGCGTTCGCCCCAGGCTCAGGGTACCCTTTCTTCTTCTGACTCTTCCTCTTCCCTCTGCGGAGCCCCCTTGTCTATACCCAACAGTAAAGGGGCTACGGTCAAAAGGCCCAGGCAGATCTGACCCCTGAGATGGGTCTCCCGAGCTGGCCTCTCTCCGCCCACAGGTTCGAGGTTGCTCCCTGCCCAGAGCCGTGTTCTGGGGCCCAGAAATCCAAGGTGCTGGGACTCAGCTCACACCAGGAGGAGATAGAGAGGACCAAAGCCAAGGCCAAGCCCCTTCGAATGCCCATCAACACGTTCTCTGGCATCGTCCAGTGAGCCCAAAGGGGCTGCAGAATCGCTGAGTCTGAGAGCAGAGGGCCCGAGAGGAAGGATACACCACCCCACCTGCCCCAAACACTCACAGCAACGACTAGAACGAGGCTCCCTGGGGCGGCTTCCAGCCACATCTGAAAGCCAGCAAGTCCCAGGAGCACAGGGAGCTGGCCGTGGCGGGTGCGGTGGGGCAGAGCCCACACGAAGGGCCGAGGAGGCCCTGGCCAAGCTGTGCGCACGAAGCCCAGCTCCTCGCGCCTGTGTCCACTCCTTCGTTGATTTCCAATCCCTGCCTCTCCCACTCAAGCTCCCCACCCGGCCCTAAAACCAAGGTGAGAGCTGCTGTCCCGTGGCCTGGGGCAAACAGGACGTGGGCAGCGGCAGCCCCTCCCGCCCAGTCTGTTCCCTCCCCTCTAGCGGGCCACTGCCCACCTCGCCCACTCCCAGGCGGGCGTCCCTCCCGGTTGAGAGGAAATGTCAGATTCAATAAATGCACACTAAAGTCTTTCTGCTCTCATCTATATCGAGCAATACTTGTGTTTTAGTAGAGAGCAGAGGCACTACGTAGTCTAACCTAACGACTCTGCTTAGGCCCAGGTAAGAGCTTGGTGAAACATTCACTGGTGTGTTCTGTCCACCTGCCCGGCCCCCTCCTCGTTCACGTTCACTGAGGGCCTCCTGATCAGAGATGTCCCCAGAACCGAGGTGGGAATGCAGGCTCATTTCAGAGGAGCCAGAGATTAAAGACATCAAAATTCTTGGCTTTTGAGTCCAGATGTTAAGTCCATACCCATCCCCTGGGCAATCCCAGGGGACGGCGGCAGTGGGATGGAAGAGTCCCTTCCAAGTTTGGGACCCAAGAGTGGAGAGGTAAGCACTTCACTCTTGGCCTTATTGCCCTGGGAGTGGGGGCAGGTCTCAGAGCATGTTCTCAGAGCCTAGGGGCATGGTGTAAGAGGGGCTGCCTGGGGGCCTAGGCAGATGGGCCCAAGAGCAAGCTTAAAGAGAGTCCCCGCGCCTCTCTGGGCACGGGAAGCAGGTACGGTTTTCCCCAGGTAGTTGAAAGCAAACAAGCCCAAGGTAAGAGGTGCAGCCGTGAGTGGCTACAGGGACCAGAGAACCTAAAGCCTGGATGTGGACCGCAGGCACCTTGATGGACACTACGTGGCGAAATCCCTGCACCTCAGTGGCGATCCACCCTGGACAGGTGAAGACCGAGAAGTTGATGGATGTGCGGTCCTCCACCGAAGCTGCCCCTGCGGAGCCCGGGGAGGACAGGGACTAGGGACAGCCCTGAATGTAACGGAGATGGTTTTAAACAGGAAGTGACTGATATCACTGAATTTGAGTGAGTTTATCTGAACATGGCTAGACTTTCTTTTTCTGTCGTTGGGGTTATGTAAATTGATTCATATCAATTTGGGCAACAAGTACTAGGTTCGTGAAATAAATAGCTGCAGGGTTTACCAGCTGTTAGAGTTAGGTGAGGGCTCTGGGCCTTCTCCCCCAACAATCTCTCCACCAGCTTACAAAGAAAGTACGTCATAGACCAAATTCTGCTGCCCACTCAGATATGCCTCCCCACCCCCAGTCAAATTAGGTGCTCCGAACAAACCTTGCTTGAAACCTTCACGCAAGGACACTGGGTGGCTGGACACTGTAAAGTGTCCATCTCAAAGTAAAGTCTTCCCTTCCAAAGGGTCTGGACTGCTGGAATCTCCGGATTCTTAATCCTGTTCACCAAGGGAAGAGATGCCTCCAAAAATTATAAACAATCCATGTGACTTGGACACCATGAATTTCACCAGCGAAATTTTGCCAATATCTCTCGGGATGATTAATGAATCCACTTCCGTTGATCTGAGATCATTAACGTGCTTATATTCACTGCCTCTGGAGTGTGACTTGGATGAAGTGTTAGCTAACCACCTCTGGCGTGTGTATTCCCCACATGGACAACTAAGCGCTCTCAGATGTCGATTAAAGCGATCCAGTACGTGCATAACGTTGGCCGGGGGTGGGGCTGAGGGTGGGTGCTGCACGGGGCTGCCTGGAGGAGCTGCCGTCTCAAGACCACCCTCAGCTGTCAGTCCCTCTCGGGGGATTGTCTCCACTGAAGAAAACCGTGTCACCTAAGGTCGTGCCTCTTCCAGAGGCAGCTCACATCCAATCAAACAGTTCTAGGCCCTGGGGACAAAAATAGCACTTGATTCCAATGGAGACAGACAATCAGAAACAGAAACCGGTAGTGTGTCTGACAGCGATGCGTACCACGGAGGAAAACAAGCAGGGAAGGGGAGAGTGTGAGTCTGGGGAGGGGGCGGGGTTTGTCAGCGAGGGTAGACAGGGACGGTCCCTGAGGGAAACAGGGTCGTCCTTGATCGGGGGCCCATGAGCAAAGACCTAAAGAACACGGGGCAGGGGGGCATATCATGAGTTCCACTCTCGCGCCTCCCCAGCCAAGTTTTACTTGCCTGAAGCAGTTCAGGGATCTAACTCAGCACCGTGGGCTACGCGGGGGCCCTGGGGGTGGCCTCGAGCGCACCCAGCAGGCCTCAGCCCGCGACCCTCCTGCACCTGCGCACGTCTGGCAGGTGCGGCGGCGAAGGCCGTGGGGGGTGGCAGGTGCGGCCCGCAGGTGCGCCGGCCCCGCCCCTTAGGGGCGGTGCCCTCCGGGCGGGGGCACTTCCGGGTCGGTGGCCGGACGTGGGGCGGTGGGCGGCCGTTGACCCGGTGACTGCGGCGCCGCCGGAGGCTGGAGCTGCCGTGCGGCTCGCTCCCGCCTCCCTTCAAGGGACATGGCGCCGCGCCCGCCCCGCGCCCCGCCGCGCCCTCCGTCCGCCCGGGTCTGACGGAGCCGGGCAGCCATGAGCGCCAACCCCCAGTGGGACACCAGCAGGGCGCTGGGGGTGGCCAGGTTCTTCCATCTGGTGTGCGGGGTCCGGGATGCCTGCGTGACCCCGTTCCTGACCCTCTACCTGCGGCAGCTGGGCTTGGCCGCGCCCTGGGTGGGCATCCTCATGGGAACCAAGCACCTGATCGCAGCCTTCTGGGCTCCCTTCTGTGCCTTCCTGGCCAAAAGCTACCAGAAGCGGAGGGTGCTTCTGATAGGCTCGCTGCTCGGCTCGGTGGGAGCCAGCCTGTTGATGGTCCTGGTGCCGCCCTTGGACAGAGACCCAGGGTACCGCTCGTGTAACGGAAGCCACAGTGTGACCGCCACGGTCCCACCACCGGCGGTCGCACTCACCGTGAACGTCACCTCCGCCCCCGAGCCAGCTCCGAACTACCCAGCGCCCAGCCTCCCAGCCGAGAGGAGTACTGGGGTCGGCCCAGGCGATGGCTTCAGAGAAGGGCCTGGGGAAAGTGGCCAAGAACCTTTCAGTCGTCTGCCCAGCTCCTTTGTGGGCTCCATCCAAGGAACCAGGACCACATCCCGAGTTCTCCTCCATCCTATTACTTCAAGAGTGAAAGATACTCCCCAGGAAGGTGCTTTTAGGGTGGTCAGTCCTGCCCATCCTTTGCTTGCTGGGGGTACGGTGTTGGCAAGTCCGGCCAACCAGTCGGCAGCCAGGGGGATGGCGGGGGCCCTCGACCTCTCCTCGGAAGGGTTGCGGTGGACTTTCATCCTCTCCCTGGGCTCCATGGTGGTCTGGGAGCTGCTGACATCCCCTGTGGAGCAGGTGGCCGATGACAGCCTTTATGAATACCTGGATTTTGTGGACGCCACTGACGGCTACAGAAGCCTGTGGATCTGGAGGCTGCTGGGCATGTCGGCAGGCGTGTGCGGCATCTCAGCCTTGGTGGGGCAGCTGGACTGCTTCCTGATGACAAGTGGCCCCCGGGGTGTAGTGCACTTCTACGGCTACTCACTTGTCAGCACCCTGGCTTTACTGGTGAGCATTGCCTTTCCCGTCCCCGTCTGCAGGCGGTGGGAGCCCAGCTACAAAATGGTCAAAGCCCTGTCTCTCGTCGGCGGTGACCCCCGCCTCATCACCCTCGCCCTCACTGTCTTCTTGATAGGAACCGCCACCAGCACCGTGCAGAACTTCCTGTTCTGGCACATGAAAGACCACGAGAGCACCGAACCGGTCATGGGCGTCTCAGTGGCCCTGGGCTTGCTGGGGGAAATTCTACTTCATCCTCTCAAAACTCCGTTGCTTAGGAAGCTGTCCAGGGTGGGCACGGTGGGGCTAGGGCTGGGCTGCCTGGCGGGGCAGCTTCTGTATTTCTCTTTCCTCTGGAGCTGGTGGTCTGTCCTCCCCGCTCAGCTCTTGAGCGCCGTCAGCCACGGGGCTCTGTGGTGGGCAGTCGGGGCCTCCATAGAGCATCTGGCCACTCCCGGAACAGAGAGGCCTCTGAGTGCCGTGTTCCGAGACCACTTTTACGGGGTCGGGGCCAGCCTGGGCAGCTTCGTGGGGGGCTTCGTGGTGATGCACTTCAGCTTAGCTGTGCTCTACCAGTCCTGCTGTGTGGTCCTGTTGCTCTGGCTGGCCTTGTTCCTGTCCATCCAGTCCAGACTGCCCCAGGAGCGGACAATCAACTACTCTAAGCTGCTGGCCGTGGAGGCCAGTGACACGAGTGATTCTGAGCAGGGGACCGAACGGGACTGGCTCGTGAAGGCCATGAGAGACGAGCACTCAGACTGGAGGGGCTGAGAGACTGTCAGGATGCGCTGATCTGGGGAGGAGCCAAAGGGATGGACAGCACTTAGCCTGCTGGGGACAAACCCCACGAGTCCTGCCAGGAGTGCAGGGAGCCTGCGGAGACAAAAGCATGTCTGTGCCAAAGCCCCACGGGAGCATCTCATCGCATGATTTTCTTTACTTTTGTAGTAAAAGGAGATTTAACTTTTGGCTGTTCAGTCTTTTTAAAATAATGGAGCAAGAATACATTTGCTAAAAAACAAAAATTTCCCTTTGTGGTCACTCTTTTTTGGCGTATGCGGTTTGCAAGAGCTTTGCGTGGTGCTGTTGATTTCAGCCACGACTGAACTGCTCAGGTGAAACCGACGGGGCTGGGAAGGCGATGGAACCGCAGGACTCAGTCGGCGGAGGGGGCAGCAGGCTTCGATGAGTCGTGCACATTCCTGTGGATCTTAAGGCTTGAGCCCGAGCCGATAAAAGCCATGCCGTGGGCAGGTAAGGATGGTCATGAGAACCGAAACTCTTCTCTCTGTCTCCCTCTCTCTCTCCACTAATGTACAGTGCCCACAGTCACACCCAGGGACTTAAGTCTCCAATAAGAGAAAATGATGGGACGTGTAATGTGTGTTTGGGGGGATAGGGGGTGGAGGTGAATAGGTTTTCATTCTTACTCTCAGATGTGTGCGTCACCAAAATGGGGTCCTTAGACTCGTCTTCCATGCTTAGATGAGGGCAAGAGCCGTTTCACATCCCCTGGATTCCCATTTTGCAGGCTCCACCTCTCAAGAGCACATGGAGACTTTCTGCATCTGCTCCGTGAGGGTGCGGCAGCCTCCTTAGGGCTAGGATGCTAGTACCTGTGCCATTGGACCTCCC